TATCTCTGTGTAGCTGCATCTAATATCACTTAGGTACAAAGACCCGTTATGCTGGAGTGCGCTCGACATATTTTATATCCAGCCATTCCTTAAATTCCGACACCGACTTTGCCTCAACTACGTGTTGCGGCAGTTTGTTCCATACATTCACCACTCTGTTCGAAACAAATTTGGTGGGTGACCCTCTTCAAATCCGGTACTACAAGCTTGTAGCGATGTCCTCGCGTGCTGTTTGGTGTGCGCAGATGAAGCAGCGGCCTCAACATGGGGTAATCACTCAGATGTAATATCCGGTGCGTCATGATGAGGTTAACCCGCAGTCGGCGATAAGCTAGGGTGTAAGGCCCTAGTTTCTTACACCGGTCTTCGTACAGCACACCCCGTAAATTGGGAATCAGCATGGTGGCATAATGCTGACCTCGATATTTTCTACCTCGGTCCCGGTGATAGGACAATACGAGGGAGAGCCATACTCTACCATTGGTCGTATTATTGTGACGAAGAGGCGAGTGATAATCTCTTCGGATCAAGTGCTGAAGCTGCGGCTGATCGCTCAAAACATACGAAGGCCGTTTTGGTAAAGTCTATTTGTGTTGTCCATGGACTTTAGGTCGCAGCGTAAGAGTACACCGAGGTCTCGCACGAAAGGCGCGGGATGCAACGGTTGAGCGGCAACAATGTAGGTTTGACTGTACTCACGCTTACCTAGCCTCATGAATTGCGACTTCAGCAAATTGATCGGAAGGTTGACCACTACAGACCACATGGAGAGGTGCTCGAGGTCCTACTGAAGCGGATCACAGTCATTAGGTGCACGGATTACTCTCCACACCTTCAAATCATCTGCAAACAACTCACAAGGTGAACGGAGTAGCTGAGGCACATTCTTCACATGTATCAGGAGCAAAATGGGCCCCAATACAATGCCTTGGGGCACACCACCGTTCGATGGATACCATTTGGTCAAATGGTTGTCGACCTGGACCCTCCACTTTCAACCAACAAGGAAGTTCCTGATCCATCTATGCAGCGAGCCGTCAACAAAGCACGCCCTCAGCCTGTTGAGGAGCACTTCATGATTCACCGTGTCAAAAGACTCACTGAAATCAATGTAAATGACGCCGACCGACTTGCCTTGGTTCAGCGCTTGAGACAATGCGTGCCTCGTAAACAGTAGGTTAGTGATGCACGAGCGACCTTTCACAAAACCATGCTGTGCGGGCGTCAAGAAACTTTTCGACTCGAGAAGCTGCGGAAGACTCTTCACGATCTTCTCGAGCATCTTTGCCAAAACAGAGGTCAGGCAGATCGACCGGTCACCACCTTTCGGTATTGGCTTTACGACTGAGCATTTCCAGTCGCCCGATAATAAACAAGTGGATAGTGACCTGTTGAACTGCTCAGTAACAGAAGGCAAGATGATGGCCCATATGGACTTGAGGATCAGTGGTTGGATTCCATCTGGCCCGACAGGCTTCGTCCCGTCAAGACTTGCCAGCAGCTTGCGTACATCTTCAATGCTGCAATCCAGGCTGTCTAGTTCAGCGGGGGCGGTACCCGTTGAACTTGGTGCAGACACCTGTTCAGTTGCAAATACGAAAGAAAGTGCGCTGTCAATGCGGACGCAGGATCTGTGCTCGAGGTCAGGGGCTTTCCATCTGAGCCTTCCAACACTGGCACATTGCCTGCAGACCTCAGGCGCCGCTTCACGTAGGGGAAGATCCTCTTTTGAGCAGTTTATGCGGCGGCTGCAAGCTGCTCTTCGAAGCTTCTGCGTTTTGTTTTCGCGTTGCTGCAGTGAGTTCGCTGCACCTTGTTCGCCTTGTTATCCTCGTCAGAGCCAGTTAACACGAGTTTGTTCCCTAGTGTGCGTCGTTGTCGGGCCAGTTTGCAGTACTCGATGTTGGACCAGTGTGGCTTGACTGGTCCAACATTCCGATGCTTGAGGAGTACAAATCGGGAGCACAACAATTTCACTCCCTCTTTAAAGATAGTCTAACAGGTTTCAAAAGGCGAATCCTCTGATAACGACTAGTCCATCTGACTTGATGCTCGAGTGAGGCCATTAAAGTCCGCCTTCCAATAGTTGAAGGCTAGCTCTAGCGAGGAAGAATACGGCAGCGGCAGTTCCAAGCTGGCTACGACCATCAAGTGGTCACTCGCTTCCAGGGGCTCCAAGACCTGAATATTATGCACACGTTGCTCACAGCTGGTCAAAAGCAGGTTTAAGCACTATGGAGTCGCTCGCGCAATTATGCGCCTCGGTTGGTTCATGTGCTGTGTGGCCCCAGTTTTAAATATCAACACCGCAAATTTCCTCTCGACTTCACAATGGCCGGGGAGAAGTTCAGCCTCACGCCACTGTATTCGTGGTTAGTTGGAATCGCCCATGAGTAGGAACGACGGACGAATCATGTTGTTGCGGACGTACGGCAACCAGTCCAAGCAGGGGCTCAGTGAACTGCGATATACCACGCTCACGAGCATCTCGCGGTGTCTGAGGTGAATCGAACACCATAACTGCTCACTTAGACCATCAGCGGTTCTGTAGGTGCTCACTAGTCTCCCACACAAGGAAGACCTTATGTAAAGCAGAACGTCACCGCGATCATTTGCGGGGCTATCACAGAGGAAGCACAACTGCTGATTTCCACTTATTGGGCGGTTACGTCGGAGTTTAACTAAGGCCTAATACGTCTGATCACGGAGAGATTACAAAGTAGCACAGCGTTTGTCGATGGCTACGATGGTCGAACGTCACTAGCCTATTTAGTTCTGTGGATGTGATGGGCTAGATTTCGCAATTCCACAGGAGGGTTAAACACACGGCTGAGTTGTGCTAGTAAGCTCTGCTGCTGTCATGGGTGTTGTGGTTGGCGCAAGATCGGAGAAAACGGTCACCATTGTCAGTACGGCTAACCTCGACTCCGATACGTCCTGCCAGGCGATATTCTAGTTCTGATTGACGGTCGAATTGAGCATTCATTACGCCCAAAATGATCACACTATCTGGTCCTTTGACCACTCGAATTAGTTGATCGATCTGCCTAACGTTGCTAGTGTTCCTTTTTAGTTTTGTTAGTAGGGGGCACGTATCACGAAGCCCACGCATTACGATTAGTCCAAAATCTAAGTGTGTTTCATCCCACAACCCTTGCTGGGGGTGCGATTACTTTAGTGCGCTCCATCCGCTTGCTCATCAGCGATGAATTTCCACTCCGGGGATATTTCTCACACATCGCCTTTTAGTGCGTCTGCAAAAAGTAGTGTAGACTGATAGGCATCAATTTCATCACATGAATACATCATGGCACACTAGATATTCTCTTCGGTTAAGAGTTACAAATCAGAAATGACCCGAGGACTCAAATCCAAACGTCGCTCTCCTGAGGCGAATTCCGTGAACATGTATCGACGCTTCTGGATGACCAGCGAATTTGCAAGGACTGGGAGTTCCTCATTTTCACTGTACTCCACCAATGCTTTCTATATTAATAATAACAACCCACTTTTGCAATACCTGACGGTCTCATTCAAGACAGCTCCTTTGGTCCTTTAGAGCGACTAACGTCAGTTATAATTTGACGTCGGACCCTATGCATGATCAGGGTTGGCTTGCTGTGTCGGCTACTAGTATCGACACTTGGCTCAGCGGGAGTGCAAGATACTCCCAGCCGTACTGGTTAATCGTGTCGACTTGCTATCCGATTGTCGCAAGTCTCGGCAATCGGATTCGCAAGTTATAGTCAAACTGAAATGCGTACCTTCCTGTTTTCACGGCTTGTAATACAGCATGATCACAGATAGGCATCATCTGAAACGTATCTGGTGTCATGTCCGGTAAACGGGTTTTTCATCTCAAGCGGAATTGTGTCGCAACGATCATGGGTTTTTTACTCACCGAACGGCTTTTTCCAAGACTCATCGAAGCCATGCTTAATAGGCCAGAGTCATGTATAAGTCATGGCGTAACGCTCATGGGCGTTCACTTTGACCGTTCTGTTCTTCGAAATGAGTATCACATGACGGTGTAATCATATTACGAGACTCGGCTGAAAAAGGAAAAAGTAAGGTAGTCGTTTCGGGATTGGCTGGGTGTTCTCTCAACACTGACACCCCACGACCAGTTTCGTCCTCGTTTAGACTCATCAGATGTAAATACCGTGAACTGGAGTGGAGCTCGAAGTCTAATGATCAAAAGTTGACGCCTTGATCACTATGCCACTGAGATCTGTAAGCAACACTATTCAATTGGTGGTCAGAGACTCATTATCCTAACGCCAGAGTCCTATAAGAGCTTTTGAACAACGGCGCTTTTTGCATATGTTAGTCTTTGTGTCTGTTTTCGCTGAGTGCCAGCCTTGCATTATCCCTTTTGAACTCCTATCACAGAGATGCACATCGCTTGTCCACACAGTAGCGTCCCCAATTCTTTGTGGCTTCTCGCTCGGAGATGTTCTCTCTCACGTTTTAGAATACTGCTCCACCGTTGTTCCATTCCGAAAACTGTATATTGGATCACTACGTTAGTTGCTACATTGTCTGTCTGTCTACTCGTGCTAATTAGTACCTTATCTGAGGCGTATTACTGTTTGTTCTTCCTGTGTTTGTCCACATCGTTTTTCTACTCATTATATCAACCACGTTCTCTGGCTATGCGCGGGCGTCAGTCATGCAGTTAGCAATTTACTATAACTTGATTTCCAGCCGGCGGCGGTGTGGTTCAGGCTTTTGATTTGAAATGCACAGGTCGTAGATTCTAAGCCGCGTAAGCAGTTGCCTAGCAGCGAGTCACTAGTATTGGTTGCCGCTGTATTACCGGTACTGTTTTTATTGTTACTCATTAAGCTGTTGTATACAATGCACGGGTTGTAATAGGGATTCAGCTCTCTTTGTATTGAATGGCCATCTTCCTCTCAGAACTAAGCATAGTAACCTCTCAAAATGCACAGATAAGTGACTCTCGAGTGTTTCTGCATCCACCTCTCCGCTTATTACAGCTCGGTATACCTCGGAGCAATATCCCGCTTTATCGTGTGATCCTCATCATAGGTGATGTGTTCAGGCGCACAGAAATTCGCCACATAGTTGATGTGCTACTTCTTCGACTGCGTTTTGGGCATCTGCTTGTTCATCAATCTGGTGTGTGTGCCACCTACAATCTGGGCATTTCCACCGCTTGCGTGGTGGACGTTGGCGATCAGAAGACATCAGTATCTTGCATAGAGGATGGAGTTTCACATCCGGACACGAGAGTCACTCTAGCTGTCGGCAGACGGAGCGTTCTGCATGTGTTCCATCAGCTTATCTCAAGTAGTCTCCGGAAGAACGGAATCGAATCCACGTCAGTTGTACATGCGTTTTGTGTTTTAACACCCGCATGATCCAATTTGTATGGCATACTGGTTTTGCCCATCTTGTTTCACTTACTTTCCAGCTAGATGCTGCACACACGTAACTAATATTCACGCAAAAGCACAAATATCTTTAGCGCTATTGAATATTGCCTACACAATTTTTGTTTTTGGTGTTCATAATTCCCTGATTATCTTCTGTACTTGAGTCCAACTGGTTTTAACTGTGGTCACTGCGTAACAACAATAGTTCAACTATATGTGTGCGCTGACCCGAGTGCATCATGAGCAGGATCGGAACCGCGTTCCCACCCTCATGCAAACTCCCGGAGGGCTTCCCGCTTCGTCATCCAAAGGTTGCAAGTGCTCGTTTCAGTGCAAAATGGTGCGTGGTGTACTTTCCTTCAAATTGGTTGTCGAACGTAATGGTTATCCCCAAGTAGGATCGTAAATTGCGTAGGAGTAATTTACTTGTAATCTCATCACATCGGCTGGTGGTCGAGTGGTCTGCACGCCTAGCTTACAATCATAAGGTCACCGGTTCGAACTGATGGTGAAGTCATTGTTTCAGAGAGTTGGGGACAATCAAATGATACATTTCTCTCACGGCGCCTCACATTTGACACAAATTCTTCTTCAGTCCACGTGGATCGGTACATAATTGATGTGGAGTTTCTCAGAGAATAAGGGGAATACTAACGACAACAGGGACATAAGTCAAGGCACTGCTATAGATGTGGATTCATGTCGTCTCAAGTGGTCCAGTCGAAGTTGGGTTTCACTGCGTTGCTTTGACAGTTACGATCTTGGTGATGATGATTATGGCGTCGATTTTCGTTATCCAATTTGATTTGTCACATGAGGACATGCCTGCTAAATAACGTCTGGTGAATACGCTACTTGTGACTCTATTGTGTTCAGTGAGCATTGACTCAACCTGCATACCAGAGCATTTTAATATGCATCCGGTTTCGCCAGTTGATCGGTGTCCATGCGTCCACACTGCCGTCGCGAATGTTCACCGAAACGCACCAGCAGGTCGACGCGAACAAGTGCGTGGTCAGAGTCCACACTCGTGCTCCAAATGGAGCGGCAGTTTTGGACGCATCGTCTCCAGCGGTAAGTGGTCGCGATGTGATCGATTTGCGGTCCATGGCTGGTCGAAGGCTTGTGGGCGCTATGTCACCCTTCTGCGGGTGCTGTGTCAAACTTTAGTGCTCACAAGAAAGAGACGAACATATTCATACAGGTGTAACAACCGCTCACCGTTGTAAGTACGGGAGTATGCACCGTGATGGCCCCCGAATGGAGCTCATTAGTGGACTTTTTTAACTTTGCGTTCAGATTACCAGCCAGCGCTGCAGTATCTGGAATATTTTGGTGACGAAGAAGCTCCTCCAGTTAACGATAGTAGTCATCTTTCATCGAGTACATGCTAGTTTGTGAGGGCATAGGCAGCAATAACAAACAGACAACGTTTGTCACCGCACGACTTCGAAGCTTTGAACTAGCCAACCAGTCTGACGGCGCACATCCGGCTGTGGATTGGGATCTGAATGATTAGGGCAGCTTCGATCCGGGGATAGAGCAATGGCCACACCGGACTGATGGATATTTGAACCTCCGTCATCTCCGGACAAGCGCATTTAGAGTGCCACCAGTGTCACAAGTTTGGGATCGCAGGGCAAACACAGAGCTCGAATCTTACTGGTCGGTTTTTGATAAACAGCAAACCCCAGCTGTTTCTTTCTAACCAGACCTTTTCACGACAATCGTTGAATGAGTATACTTTGCATGTGCCCCACCTACCGGTTTGCTCAACAAGCTAATCTCGCTGTCTTCACACTGCTGCTGTTGTTGTTGTTGCCGCTGCTGTCAGATTCCGCTACTACAGAGGCCTTGCATACATGGAGTTAAAGACCAGGTTAGCAAACGCTTGATGGTCATGCGACAACACGGCGTATACCGAGGGATCAGTCCACTATGGAAATTTCTATCAAGCTTCACTTTTCCACATCATGGTCAGTCGGTCGTCTCCGAACATAATCGCGGTACCTGATTCGTGAGATTTCACAGTTGTTCGCTCCATACCACGCTGAAATTAAATGCAGAAAGATTGTGACGATACTGTTGAACTGCATTTGTTGTCGAAAAGCCTGTTGCTAAACTACCGTTTAACGATGATTTGAAATGTTCACGTGCGTCATCATATTACCGTTTCGGTTAGGTTTGCATAACCAAAGCGGTTGATCGAACCGAACGAAGTTTCTTTTAGTCGGTGAACTCAATCGAAGTCGGCTTCCGGTATAATGTTTGACGTGAAGTGAAAGTGTGGTTCTTGAACCTTAGTCGCAAATTTGCGTACCATTCTCTTGTTCAAGTCTCATGCCTCACACTAGTGCGATGGGTTGGAACGGAAGTCATCAGCATTGTCAATACGGGTGTTGTGCTTGTAACTTTGTGGTTGCTTCAAACATTGTATCTTTCCTTACTTACTGGGACTATGATCTATTCATCTTAGTTGACAGCCCAAACGGCGTCCGTCTTTACAACCGCACCAGAGACTTTTGATATTGCTACTGCTAAAGCATCCGCATCGGCAGCACAGTAGTCAAATCATGTCCCCTTTCGAATATGGCTTTTCAGATTTGGCGAGAAACCGTGCGCAACAGCGAATCTGTTGTGACTTTATTTCCATAAACACTAGTGTATTTTATTTCCCGTATGTTGTTGCGCTATGTCAATTGTACTATTGGCTGTGTTGAAAATTATATATATATATATATATATATATATATATATATATATATATATATATATATACGTTGCTTACACTAATTGCGCTTATCTTCGGTAATTTTGTCGCGTTTGTGGCATTTTAAGTAACTTGTGGACATTTCTTACTTATCACGGATTTGTTGCTAACCAACTTACTTCATATGGTAATTTAGCGAAGAGTTATGCCACCGTATCTGTATGCATTATTGGATTTATTTTATTTCAGCTTGTCGTTTAAAGTGAATGGCTGCTGTTTGATATCCCTGGTATGGTTGCGCTTGATGTGTATGTTGACAAGGTGCCTACCTGTCTATTACCCACTACATCGTTCATACTGGCTCCAGGAGACAGTTGGTCGTTGCTGGAGGGGACGGGGTGCACGGTTCTTGTGGTCGTGCTAGGCTCAAAGAGCGGTTCCATGCACTCAGTGTGGAGTGGACTACGGTCCAGCCACCGCCTAGCCAGCACCTTGTGTGCGTTTGATTCCCCAAATACAGCGTGCTTGTGTTCGTCTGTGAAGGAGTGTGGGCCGGCTCCGTTGATGAAACGTGGCTCCCATCCGCATGCCTCCCGGTCATATTCCTTCGGGTTTACACTGGATATGGGGTGTGTGGATGGAGCTGTGGGTGGTGCAGCGCAAGCCACCCATGGTCCCTCTGTAGGCGCAGGCGTCCTGTGGCTTGCTACAGTGACAGGCAAATCCGCAACCGGATGCCGCCACCTATGTATGCGTATTTATTTATTTATTTATTTATATGGTTGGTGGCAGGGGGAATCTGTCAACATAATTTACCTCGATTTCAGTAATGCGTTCGACAAGGTTAACCGTGAGGTCCTGCTCCACAAGCTGAGAATGTTCTATGTTGGTGGATCACTGCACCAGTGGATCCAGGACTTTCTCGTTGGGCGAAAGTGGGGGTACAGGTCGACGGCCATCTAATTGTCTGGTGTCCCTCTATTAGTGGTGTACCACAGTGCACGGTGCTGGGTCCCACTCGGTTTCTAATCTACATCAACGATCTACCTCTGCTTCTTCCGTCGCCGTGTGCCATATTTGCGGGTGACCTGAAGATTTGGAGAGAAATTAGAACTACAAACAACTGCAGTCTATTTCAGTACGACCTCAATCGCCTCTCCATGTGGTCTGCGGAAGTCCGCCTCCCGGTCAACCCATCTAAGGTCGACCGGCGGCCGAGTGGTCTGCACGTTTGCCTTGCAACCATAAGGTCACCGGTTCGAATCCGCGTAGGGGTGGGCGTCCTCGCGGTATACTCAGCCCGCGCGCGACTGGTGGTGGTCGCGTGGCAGCGAAGCGCCGTTACGGCGTTCAGCTGACACATTATTATTATTATTATTATTATTATTATTATTATTATTATTCAACCCATCTAAGTCGGTATTTTTGAACCTGGGAAAGGGTGGTGACGGTCGATTTTTCACCATTGACGGCCAACCGCTACATGCCACACCTTTCATGAAGGACCTAGGTGTACTCTGGCGGTGCGATATGTTCGGACCTCCTTTTCGGATAGATCCTCTAAGTTGACCTTCCATAGTTCATCCTGGTTGGCACTAGGCCAACTGTGTTAATTTTGTAAGTGCTACACCTAACGAACCAGAAGGCGTAACCTATTTTATATTGTGACACCGTCGCTATCTCTGATGGATATTTTCCTGTGGATGCTGATGTGACTTAATTTGACGCGGCCGAGGTAGTTAATCACCACCCTTGTCTCCAGTTCCTAAGCTTCATGTATCAACAGGGCCTTCCTGTCAGGTTGCAAAGCCGTTTTACGCCAACTTTCACAGATCGTCCGACTGACCACACTGCGTAGTGGCGTGTTAAGTTCGTATTAGGCCCTTCCTGCAACATCGGTACCACAGCCGTGGGAAGTATGAGTGGGAAGTATGAACCAACAGCGTGTATCGCTGCTTCAAGCACTGGTTTCAATTGTGTTTGCCAGATAGACTGCAGACTGACCGTTGTGCACTGGAATCCAATCAAAAAATGATAGATGAGCTCTGATTCCGAGAACAATCCCACTCCATTTTGGTATCTGGTTATTGACTACCAGGGATATGCGAACGACTTAGCTCCCGTTAGATCGGATCCAGTGGTTATACAAGTACTGTAAAATTTAATGACAGCGTTGTACGTTTCGGCACATGTTTTGCACCTTCAAAGGTCCAACTGTTGTTGCAGTTGGTCCTTAGTTTTCAATGAACAGCCACTGGGAGTAAATGAGCGGTTCGTTTATCTTGTTAGTTGTGTCACTTTTGGTGGTCACATCGCTAGAGATGTTACTTCACCTACCAGCAATGCCCGTGTGGCTTGCCGGAGGTCTAACCATCCATGGACACTGCGGTATAGGGTGCATAACGCTGTCACTGTATGGATGAGGCTTTGCCGCTTCACACTGTAGACATGCAAAATTGGTCGTCTTTGGTCACCAATGCTCAATACGTATTGTTCACATCTAGTAGGAATATCTGTTGAGCTCGCCAATTGGTATGTGAAAGGAAACCCACTGGTACTACACAGGAGCTTGCGTTTGTTAGATCGTGTCTTCTGTTGCACGTTGATGGACTTCCTCGGTGTGCATTATATGCTCTCACTGCACCAAGTTGGGCGAAACCGCGAGGTGGTCGGTACATGACGTGTCATAAGGAGATAAAGTAATTGGATGGGGGCCTCGGGATAGCACACGCCAGTGGTTGGCGAATCTAACGCACAAGATGGTCGCGGAGTCAGTGTCGCTCCTGTGTTCGATTTCTTCGCATCCAGTTGTTAAATTCTATCCTAATTAATTTTGATAGCTTATTTTTCCCAACTCCACTTTCAGTCTGCTTCATTTTCTTGGTGTCACGAGTCCTGGCGACTGGGTCCACCGCACGTCCGTGCCTGGATCTGTGGGAAGAATTGCATGAAGCAGTTAACCGAAGAATCACGCCGTATTTTTGTATACTTATATCCGATGGCGATTGAACTGTTCGCTGAGCTTGGCAATTTTGTTGCGAACGTTTCGTCAGCAATCGAGGTGACATCATCAGTGCGTAGTTGTGTGACATGCAGTAGCGTAGAGAACCCTCTCACCGAACTGAACAAATTGGGCGGCAGTTTTGATGGCGGGATCTCCAGCGGTAATTGATCACGACGTGATCGAGTTGCGTCCGAGACTGGTGGGCGCAACGTCACACTTCTGTGGATGCTGCATCAGGAGTTAGTGCTCGCGCGAAATAGACGAGCATTTTAACATTAGTGTAACAACCGCTCACCGTTTTACTTAAGGGTGCCTACACTATGTTGGCCACCCAGAAGAAGCTCATCACTTGGCTTTTTTGATTGCATGTTTAGATCACCAGCAAGCACTGCTGTACTTCCGTACTTCTGTGGCGAAGTAGCGCGTTCAGTTAGTGATGAAAGCCAACTATCACCCAACCAGTGCTACAGTTAGTGGGAGAGTAGACAGCAATGATAAACAGGCACCTATTGGCTCCGCGCGACTTCTAAGCTTTGAACGAATCAGCCATTCTGATGGTGCAAACGCGGCTGTGGTTTAGAATGAAAACGTTCGGAGTAGCTTGAAACTGACGCTCAAAGTGATATCCACACCGGCTTGATTGACATTTGAAGTCGCTTTTATCTCTGGATAGGCGCAATGAGGGACTGCGGCCATTGTCACATGATGGGGAAGTATAGAGTGCATAGCTCAAGTACCTTAAGCGGGTTTCCGATAAGCAGCTAATGGGGCACTATGGAGCATCTAATGTTCGGGCAAGTGCTGTCTATTGACCGATCTGAAACAAAGTACAATGCATGCCAGTTCTAGTGAGAACCAGGTGCACCAAGTAGATGCGGATGAACTGAGATTGTCCGCATTGTTGGACATGAATTTGTTGACAGGGTAGAAGCAACACTGTGATTGCGTGTGAATGGAAGCTAGAAATCAGACACCTGTCAAGGCAAGATAGAGGGGGCCAAAAATTGAGCGGTTGAAAGGAAGAGGAGGTAAATTATGCTCGGAACGGGACGATACGGATGGAAAGGTATAAGAACGCATTATCAATACCACCTTTGATCATTAGTGTACCGCTGGTCAACCTCATGCGAGTGAAGTGATCGATATGATGTTGACTATCTCGCAAATCTGATCTGATCTTTCCAAAGCTTCCGCTACCACCACCATACCTGTTTGGGTACATTTCAATATTTTACAACTCCTCAGATTAACTCAGTTTCTTCTCATTTTGGTTAACATTTTCGTCTGGTTGACATAAGTCATGGTAACTGCATCCATCTAGGACTGTTAAAGTGAACGCTTTCAATTTGTTCATTTACAGGGAAACTCGTGCAATTCCGAGCGATATGCCACTGATTTCACTTCACTTAGTGAGCTGATTATCCAAAACCTGTCTAATAACTTGGTAACTGCCTCCATGCGGATATTTAAAACTGTCATCGCGGCCTGCCACACGTGTCTGGTACCTCTTGCCTGATGCAGCCGGCACTAAGTCTCTGAACAGGAGCAGGGTCATATGGGTGCTCTTCTGGTAACCACGCATCGCTCACCCGTGACACGCATTCTCATCATCATCATCATTATACACGTTAGTTGCAGGTGGAAAACAGCTATTGTGCCGCAATACCAAAGACAAGAAGAAAACAACACGAGGGGCACGCCGGCTGAGTCCCCAGTAACGGATGGACATCGTTCCGGAGAGTTAACAGCCTACTCTCGTTTCGCAAAAAGAGTTATATTACCTCTAACATGCGTCCTAATTGCGCAGCAAGTTTATAGTTGTTTTCCTATGGCGTTTTGGGGTTTTGATGTTGCTTCCCTCCCAATCTTCCCTTTATATTCTCAGTTGCTTTGAACTTCAATGCCCTGACGACTTCGATGCACTATCTTCGTGTTTGCGGGACGCAGAGCTGGCGACCACAGAGGTTTTATCTCAGCAGGATTCAGAGCGCGTCACGCGCGAACTGATTAGTCCCATATCACACTGCGTCACGGTATCACTCGCGTGTCCGCGCCTTCGAAAACAATGCTCAAATCTACCCATCAGCGTCCACACTGTGTTGTACTCAAACCTCCTCCCGTTCTCAAGTATTGCCTCAGTCGCAGAAAAACTTGTAGCCACAGGCAAATCAGGTACTTATTATGAGTGCCAAACTCCATCACTGGATGCGTCTCAGCCAGATGATCCTTTCGATGATTTGTACGTGAGTCTCACCGCAAGAGAGCGTCGCAAACGGAATCTGGGACAGTCGAATGTGGCTGCCGATGCCAACGCTACTGAGGTCACAGTTGACACGAAGCTGGAACGTGATGAAACGGATATAGGAGACCTGGTACGTGATACATCTGTTGTTTCATTCTTCTATATCTTCGCAAACCCCCTTCCACCGGTAGCTAGTTTACTAAGGAGCAGTAAGGGGATTTGAAGCGTATAGGTAGAAATCTATCACATCTAGACTCACTCAGACAACCAGTACACGCCCGGAAAAGCACTGTACGCACGTTTCATCCTTTTGGGAATCGTTAGCAGTGCGCATTCCATCGGGCACTGTTAGAGCTCGAACCCACAATTCGACTGTTGCCAGCCCGTGGTTGAGACCACTGAGCTACTGGGCATGGCAACGGCCATCGTGAATAAGTTACTAAATGTGATATAGCGCCGCTCACTATCCACTGACTTGCACGTTACTGCCGTGCAGAGGACAGGGTAGCCCGCTCACCAAGCTGAACAACCTCCCCCTGGTGCCAGCTGAGTAATTCGGGTTAATCCCGTTCCAGCGAACAGTTCGGCGACAGTGTTCCAGGATGTGATGGGTTTTCTCTTGGCAAGTGTTCTTCCCATAAAAAGCCACAAAGGTCCGCTAGCAATACTGCGACGTGGAAGTCGTGACTCACCACTAAATAAAGTCACAGCCTCTTCCCTTTTCGGAGGGTTTTTTCCCATTTCAAGAACGTCATTCAATTCAAAGAATTCCTTTGATCGCTTCATACGATGGCGAACACAGCGAACAGTTTCACGAATTCACGTTAACAAATTCACTCACCATGTTCATTTACAAGTAAACATATAAAATTGGCGGCATCCGGTTCCGGATTTTCCTGTCACTGGCCTCCATAGGACAGCCACAGGAAGCCTGCGCCTACAGAGGGACCATGGGTGGCTTGCGCTGCACCACCCACAGCTCCATCCACATACCCCATATCTAGTGTAAACCCGAAGGAAGGCATGTGGATAGGAGCCGGGTTTCATCAACGGAACCAATCCACACTCCTTTACAGGCAAACACAAGAACGCTGTGTTTGGGGAATCAAGCATACACAAGGCGGTGGTTGGACCGTAGTCCGCTCCACACTGAGTGCATGGAACCACTCTTCGAGCCTAGCACGACCAAAAGGACCGTGCACCCCGTCCCCTCCAGCAACGATCAACTATCTCCTAGAGACAGTATGGACGAGGTAGTGGGTAATAGAGAGGTATGCACGTTGTCAAGCGCAGCCACATCGCGGATGTTAAACAACAGCAAATCATTTAAAATGACAACATCAAGTAATATATGTCGAATAAAGCATACGGAAGTGCTGACATAAATCTACGCCAAATAAGTATATGTAATAAATTGGTTACCAACAAATCCGCGGTAAGTGCAAGAAGTCGGAAAATACATCTTTAAAGAAATGCCACAAACTTGAATATAGCGAACGTAACCAAAACAAGCTTACGCAACGTATGCAAGTTAAGGTAAACGTTGAGGTAAATAAAATATACATTGGGACACGATAGCAAACCCACCACCTGAAATAAAGAAACTCAGCACGCAAGCACGCGTAGTATATCAAATGCAGCGTACCTACCAACGCTGAGCCGGTTCTGCTTACGTTCTTTGCAGGACACATCGTCGATTCGATGGTGGTTCCAAATGGCCTCGCTCGTGGCTCACTAGGCCTGTCTGACTCAGGCACTGGCGACCGCATGTGCTACAGCACCATGAGTTTGACGTCGATGGAGTACAACCCATCGGCGACTGTCGCTCCCGCAACTGCCGCTTCTTCTCTGCATACAGGAGGGCTTTCTCTTGCACCTCGGCAACGGCCTTCGTGATCAGATCCCGCCATGCACGCCGATCAACCGCTTTTGATTCACATGACCCGCAATCAACATTAGAACGCGATAGGCTCACTTTGATCATGTCCTGGTAGCGAAGCTTCGGTATCCGGGTCGAATCCATACGCCACACATGAACGAGCCACCTCAAGTGTCTCAACAAAACTATGCAGTCCACTGCTTACATTCCACTTCGGCGCAACACTTCCGTGTCGGCAACTCTGTCGCGCCAACCGATGCGCGGAATCCGTCTCAAACACTGTTGATGACACCGCTCGAGATATCGCACATCCCGCCGGTACATCGTCCACGTTCGCTGCCGTATGGAAGAGCGGACAGTACCATGGATTTGTACACCATCAACTTCGTGCCGACAGTAGGCTGGGTGGTTGTTTCGCACTCGGTACTCAAGCTTCCCGAGTGCCGCCGCTGCCTTCGCTACTCAACTACGCAGCTCACTTTGTGGCTGCTGGTCAGTTAAAACAACACTCCCAAGATAGCAGAAGCGGGAGGTGGTGTCCCATACTTTGTTACCAGTGCTGATTTGCGGCACCATTGTAGATTGCATCTCCGGTGAGGGCTGAAAGAGACAGACAGTTTTGCTTGTGTTGATGGTGAGCCCGAACTTGGCCGCTGTCGAAGCCGGAGCACTAGTCATGTGCTGCAACTCATCCGCGCTCTGGGCAAGCAAAGCACATTCGTCAGCAAACAGCAATATACGGATAGTTATCTCAGAGACTAGGGTTCTCGCAAAGAAACGACGGATGTTCAGCAACCCACCATCAACACGAACACCGTAAACACAAGCGGCATCAAAAGCACAAGATAACATTGCATGAAGATAAATACTAAACAGAGAAGGAGCTAAGACATAGCCTTGCTTTACACCAGAGACAACTGCAAGGTCATCCGAGGTCTCTCCACTCAGCTGCACCCTCGCCCGCATACCACTCTGCAGATATTCAATTAAACTTACACAATTACTCGGACAGCCAAACTTACTCAACGCCAGCCACAATACCTCGCGGTTCACTAGATCAAATGCTTTGGTGAGACCAACAAACAGCGAGTACAACGGCTGGTGTCGTTCTCTTCCTGCAACTGACGAGCCGAAAACACCATATCTATGGTGCTACGACCTGAACGGAATCCACATTGCTTTTCCGCCACGTTCGGTTCTACAACCTGACTGACAAGGCGGTTGAGTAGGATTCGGGCAATCACCTTGCCCACACAACTCAGCAAGTTGATGCCACGATAATTCGTGGCACATGATTGCTCCCTTTGCCCTTGCAGTGTTAGGACAAGGGCATCCTTCAGCTCTGGAAGCACCTCCTCCTCAATCCACACGCGTCGCATCAAGTGGTGCAGCGCAGTCATCAACGCAGGACAACCGTGTTTCAATACTTCAGGCGGAATCCCGTCAGCACCGGCTCACTTGCCGTTTCGCAGCTGAGCAAATGCTCTCTGCGTCTCATCCAGTGTCGGCGTGTCCGCCAAACACACCACATCGTGCTGCTTCAGGCCGTTCAGTAAGCCAGTCAATCTCTGAACAGTTGTTCAAGAGACAGTCAAAGGGCCAAGTCTCACTACCATACAGCAGAACGGCCCTCACTGTGGCTTTATATACACGGCCTTTCAGACGGAGGGAAACTCCCTTCTGTCGCCAAAGATGCCGCAGATTTAAGAAGGCAGCTCTGGCCTTTGCAATGCGTGAGCTGACGTCAGTTTCTATGCGCCCATTGTTGCTGATGCAGCTGCCAAGGTAAGTGAAATGATCAACCACCTCGAGTTCCTCGTTAGCAAGCGTCAAGGGGTCATCAAGTGGCTGGTGGTCCTGCAGCAACACTTTACACTTTAAAGGTGCGAAGTGTATACCAAATAATGGGACCACTCTGGACAGGATAATCAGGGTTGATTGCGCCGCAGCAAAATCGTCGAAAAGCAAGACGATATCATCCGCATAATCTAGGTCAACTAACCTTTCACCAGGCAGCACTTCAGCGCCTACCTCGTGAGATCCCGCAAGGGAACACTCCATGATAGAATCCACGACGAAATTGAACAGAAATGGGGAAATCGGACAACCCTGACGAACGCCACTTGTAGTTGAAAAGCTATCCGATAGGACACCATAGACCCTGACGCGGCCTGTAGTATTCGAGTATAGAGCACGAAGGATGTTCGTGGGAACATGGAAACACCTTTTCGCGCAAGTATTTCGAACAGAATCGATCGCCGCATTGTTTTCATCAAACCAAACGGGCCCTTACAGTTTGCGCGCTCGATGGTCTCCTCAACAGCAGTTGTCACCTGGTCGCGAATGTGGTGCCACAGGTCGCCCACTGTGGCTATGCACTCCACATCACACAGGCGTGCAGTCATCGCCTTCTCTGGCTCAATGCGCTTCTCCAGAGTACCGAGAATGTTAAATTTATGCCGGTTCACTGCAGAAGTGCGATGCATATACCTACGAAAATAAATTTACAGTTTGGTGCGTACCAATTTGTGATAGTGGCACACAGCTCCACGTAGTACACGTGTCGTGCGCACTTCACGCAGGAGTACGATGATGTAGTCGAGCAGGTGAGCGTGACCACCCAGTGGGTGCGTCTGACCTGCTTTATCACTCGAGCTCAGCGCAAACCGAGTGTTCGCGCTCGTCAGGCCGTGAGTGGCGCACAGTAAGAGCAGCCGTTCGCATTCGCTGAACCAATGCCATGCGAACCGATAACATCTGTCCACACCGATGTATCACGCCCAACACGCGCGTTGAAATCACCCAGCAGAAATAGTCGATCGCTCGGCACAGGCCGTATCACGGAAGATAACAGTGCAGAATTGATCCCGCATGTCATCAGGATAACACATGGTCGGACCGTACGTACTTATAAAAGTGGCAAACCACCCTCTTTCGAGTCGTATGCGAACAGTCATCAGTCGCGCGCTGATGCCAGTCGGCTCACCCACCAGCTGGCCATTTAGGCAATTGGATAGAGCAGATTCGATCCTATGTTCACGTGGTGCTGTGGTGGCGTTTCCGATGCAGGAGAACATATAGCCAGCACCTGCTTCATGCAACTTACCTTGCTCAGTGAGCCGGGTCACGTTGAGTGCCGCAGTACCGATGTTGTAGCGCGCCAGTTCTATCGCGATCAGTGCAGTGCGTCGCTCGGGGCGCTCACTCGAGTTCCGGTCCAGTAGTGTTCGTAAGGTTCCAGCACCCAATGTTTAGTGCTTTGCGCGCAATTGCATTGGTGGGCAATCGCACGCGAAGCGGCGGTTGTACTTCGAAGGTTTGCTTGAGGGACTCCGCAAGGAGCCTTTGGCTCAGTAGCCTGACCCATAAGGCAGTGGGGATCAGATCCAACTCGGGAATGTGATTGCAGCGACAGATTGAACACCCGGAGGTGCCCTCCCACCGTCAGACAATTTGTGGCGCTCGTGCTGTACGCCAATCGAGCGGTGAGTTTATAACCCGTAGACCTGTTGTCTCCCATGGTTAAGTTTTACGGGAAGAGGGCCATCGACCACTTCCTAACCTCCGAAGAGGATGGACTAGGATACTGGCAGGGCGCCCGCACCTGACAGAACGACTCGGGTCCTCAGCCAAAACCTTCGATTAAATGTACACCCGAAAGGCAGCGGGTCTACCACATGGTCAGTTCACTGACTCAGGCGGATTGGTGTCCTGGATCTTGGCAGGGAGAAGGGCGAAATCCAACTCCACCCAGCGGTCGCCACGAGCAGACGTCCAGGATATGAGCCAATGGCACAACAGTAGCATCAGTGGGTAGACCATCCGTCAGTGTCTAGCCACCGCAAGCCTCAGCGCATCATAGCCTCTACATACGTACACAGATCCAGTATATTGCTGATTGACTTACGACATCTTTGTACAATTACCGACCATAAGTGTTCCTGTTATCATGATCATGCCTTTGCATGTGTGACTCGCAACGCCGAGAATAAAACATTTATTTATTTATTCAAGCCACCAATTAACTTATGGCGTTAAGGGCAGTTGGGTCTGCCTACTGATTGCAGAAGAGTAGTGGTGGGAGTTGATGTTATACGTAGAAACTCATCACATCTAGACTCACTCAGACCGCCATCACGCGCCCGGAAGAGCGCTGTACAGTTGTTTCAGCCTCTCTGGGATTGTCAGCAATGTGCATTCTATCTGGGCCCTGTGGGGCTAAAACCCTCAACCCGATCGTTGCCAGTCCGTTTTTGAGAACACTGGACTACGGGGGACTGTTACGACCAATGTGCCTAGGTTGCTGACTAATATCCATGTACAGCTCGCTCGTTAACCGCTAGTACAACAGATTTGCTTAACTCCACTGGCAAGAACGCCCATGGTATTGCCACTTTTTCCTACGATGAGTATCCCATCGGTAATCTATCTCATATCCTACGCTGATGTATTGTGGGAAAGCCCGTTGTAGAAATCTTTGCATGACTTTTCATCGTAAGCAGATATCTCTTTTCATGGGAGCTTACATGGAACACTCGTGAGTCCTCATTTTCCGTTGCTGTTTATTGCGGTCAACCTTAATCGTGATGTGCCTAATGACTAAACTCGCTTACTCTACATCTTGATACTAGATAGCTAGTGTGTGCTTCGTACCGTTACCAAGTTATCTGCCCAACATATTCCTTTACGTTGACTGTGGCCTAAAGATTCCGAAATAACTATTGCGTAGTTGCATTCTGAATGATTATTTGTGCTTCACGTGCCTTGTCCATAGTGTATTAAATATCGTTTGTTGTTTGTTTTACAGCCAATGCAACCTATGAGCCATCAGCCAAAGGATCTATCTGAAACTTTTGGATCATTGGCTCAGTCGGTGTGGTGGAGCGTATGCCAATGTGCCAACCTAGCTACCAGTCAGATCCCAACCGACACGATTAATCCGACTGCGTCGGTTAGCCAAACCGCCGTGGATGAGATACGTAGGCGTCTTCTAAGCTGCATCTTGCTTGTTGGTGGCGGAGTATGCGACCTCGGTGGTCACTTCATACGCAGGTGGCTCGTAAAGGAATTGGAAGAACTGCTGGAGAAGAACTCAGCTGCTAGCGCAGCACCGATCGAAGGTCTCAGTCGTCCCACACTGGAAGTGATACTCCGACCCGATCTGGCTGACGCAGCCTGGTGTGGTGCACGGCTACTGCTAACCACAGAGTCGATTAATGACTTGTGGTTCGCTCCTCCGGAGTGGCGCAGGCTAGGCTCGCGCCTGATACGAGAAAAAGCCCCCTTCTTTTGGTGACAATTCCTCCGACTGCTGTACTATCCTTGTCTTTCTTATTGTCAGTTGCATTTACGTGAAATTACTCGTTTGCCTTTTCTGTTTGGGGCTGGGATTTTTGCGCTAGATCCGTGTGAAGCCGCAGGTTGATTGAGCTATGGTATTAAACCGACGAATAGGCCAAAGCATTTGAAAGCCTTCCAGATTGGTGTGCACAATAACACGAGGTTAAAATACCGTGAACCATCTTTGGGTTAAAATGTTAATAGCACCATCACAACCCTTCTCTTAGTTGTAGTCAGATTTCCTAAGATGAAACGTTTAGTCTGATTTTCAAAAGTTCTGTCAATTTCGTCCTTTTTATGTACTACCAGCTCTACTCTACAAATCACCGCCATCTGTGTTTCAATTGACAGCCATTGTACATGATCCTCGTAGTTTGTTATGAAGTGATATGTCACTGACTTCTGTATGAGTGCATAGAGTTCGGATCTCAGCGGAAGTCTGATATCATCCGCATCACTTCAGTGGTCTAATGATCCGAGACGAGGAAAATTACCTCCAAAAGCCGTAATTAGTATATTCTTCTGCAACCTTGTGATTGACGACCAATAATTTACCTCACGAAATATGAAACCTGGAGTGGTGTCTGGCCACCGTTTGCATGATGTGGGAGAAAATACTTTCTGGAGGATAAGTAAAGTCCCAGCGCTTCTCGAGCGGCCTGTCAGAATGTACCCAAAACCAGAATGCTCATAGTTTATATTTTCGGGTGACACCATCATTGAATTTTTTGATGAGCCAGCACCCGATCGGCTCACCCGTGACAGTCACTGCCAGTGATACCAGGTGTGGTAAACTAGTTCTCGATATTACATTTGATCTAATGGATAGCTGAGGAACATCTCTGACGCCGCAATTACAACGCTACCTTTGATGAGAGGTGTTCGTCTATTCCGTAGGTCGTGGCAGACAGATATAGCACAGCTGTTACACATATCCGGAATAACACTGAACTTGTTAGACCCATCACCGTTTCACATCTAGCAATCTGGCCACTGCCGATTGCCCTCACCCGTCCAAATTACTGGATTGCTGGCGTAGTCGTTGCTTCGACGAGAATGTGCGCCGACCCGTCTAAAAAACGAACGGTTGCCCAGCTTCATTTGGATACGTGGCGTCTACGAACTTAGTTAAAACTCCCTACCTAGCTTATAATTTCACCACAGTGATGGATCAGGGGGAAAATCTTGCGAAAAATGTTTCATAATTGGTGGCCACATGCGCCTAGCTGCGATGAGATCGGTGGTCACTATGACGATCAGCAAGGCTCATAAAGTTCTACACAACCTACATCACTTGCGGGGACGTTGAGAGACCAACCTGGATCAGAATTGCGCACACAATGTTACAATTGCAGCTACCGTGCATCAAGAATACTGGGAAAACGGGTCGTCTTCGGTCATTGCTCCCGAACCTTCGCTCACGTTCGACGGAATAACATTTGAGTTGGTTGGAACTGCGTCGTCTACGCTGGCTAGATCGACTTTCCATGTACAAAAACTAGCTATCTTCATTACAACATTTGTCAGGACGTGTGAATGATGACTGATCGATTACATGGTAAAAGCAGACCTGCGCCTTTGCTGAGCGGATCGCACTAGCGGCAAGCTGCCTCAGCTCAGTCGCGAAACTGATGATGCCGTTTTTTATTCGTTTGCTCTTTGCTGCTGTTATCTCCGCTGAACAATTTTAGCCTTACGTTGTGACGCTGCTCTACCTCTGGTATCTATATTTTGCGCCATCCAACCCAGCCGGAAATAACAGAAGACAGGAATTGCTAAACCGGAGTATACTGAGGACAAACCACGCGTCCTCATCTCCGACCGTACGTCGCTAGCCGATCGCTGTCACCTATCCATTCGCGTCCAAACGTGCTCTCCATCTGCAGTGTCTAGGTGTAGTCCCGCTCACGTCTGCGTCACAGCAACCCGTCATGATGACGAACTGACTTCGTCAGCTGCCCTGGACCGCGTGGCAACTTGTGTCGCGGATCGCGAACTGATTTCATCAGCTTTTCGCGTGACCTGCCCCAGGCCCATTTCGTGTCACCGCGTTCGTCCGTCGCAGTAGTTTAACAGTCCCTTTCGAATTATGTCTTGCATATCGCTCGAACATAACTTTGTTCATAGCTTTTTGCGTTGGGACCGACTTGCAACCATTGTGGTCGTCTCCGCTTTTAGATCGGTCTACATTGTGAGTCTTCTGGTGCTTATAGCTTCTGTTTTGATTTACCTAGCCGCTCGCCCTCTTCAAGTCGAATGTGTTTAGCAGAATGTTCCACTGCTTTGTCGCTGATACATGGAGATCTTGGACTTTATTGTGGGTCGGTCTCAACTGATTCATCCTGCTTCCAAACATTAGCTCGTAGATGACTTTACCCTTCCTGCCGATCACAGTTCCACTCGACCACCTCGGTCTTTGGAAGTTCTGCGCGTAAATCGTGTCACCAACTTTGAAGCTATCTGATTTTCCTCCTTGTACAAGGTTACCGAACATTGTCCGGCGGGGGATTTTACCTCAGAGCGTTTGGGTTCGGAGCATTCCGATACCAAGACAGCAACAATTGAATAACATCCTGTGAACCACTTTTCTCTCGCCTTGCAAAGAGCACGATTGAAAGTATCCACGAACCGTTCCGCCTGTCCGTTTGATTGTGGGTAACATGGTGGCTTTTCTCCTTGCACCACTCGCGGAAGGAAGTTGAGATTACATTGTCTAAAATGTTTCAGAACGCTGGTCTCTCGTTTGGAAATTTCCAAGCTCGGCGAACGAATGAGCAGCTGTTACATTGTCTATCACTATCATCTCTGATAGGCCGAAGTAACCAATTTATCCAGATCGTTGGGCCAGCAGACAAAGCTGCGTGCCAAGACTTCCATACGGCTTGTACAGGCATACGCGGTATGAAACTGCTGTAGGATTTGCCTCTGTAATTTCTTAGGCACCGTCACTATCCGCGTAGGGGTGGGCGTCCTCGCGGTATACTCAGCCCGCGCGCGACTGGTGGTGGTCGCGCGGCAGCGAAGCGCCGTTACGGCGTATAAGCTGACACCAGGCACCGTCACTCGGTATCCAAACATCAAATAATTGTCCACAACCGACAGGGACCCACGACGATTGAAGAAGGGTCGCAACTCATCAGGGATGCCACCACTTCGCCTGTGTTTGTACGTAATGCACCGGTGGCCGAGTGGTCTGCACGCCTGACTTGCAATCATAAGGTCACCGGTTCGAATCCGCGTAAGGACAGGCGTCCTCGCTGTATACTCAGTCCACGCGCGGCAGCGAAACCTCGTTATAGTGTACAGTTGACACATTATTCATTATTATGTAATGTATCGCATTCTCTAGTGTTCTGTCCTAGGATATCTCCACACGAATGATGCAAGCTGTTACTGGTAATCTTCCTACATCACCGGCGAGGATTCATTGGAATTCCGACTCGAATTTGCTAGCTGCAATCAGTCATCGTGGTCCTATAAATGCAAGCTAATGAGGCGAGACAGAACATCAGCCTAGCCGATTTGCTGCATAGGTCGATACTGTGTACTGAAGTCGTACGCCAGCAGTATGGCCGCCCATCTTTGTAACCGATTTGCATTAAAAATGGGAATCCCCTGTTTTCGAAAATCGGGAGCAGTAGTTTATGGTCAGTCAAAGGCGTCTAATGTCTGTCAGGAAGCATCTTGTGTAACCGTTTCATGGCGAAAGCATTCACGAGCGCTTCCTTGTCGATCTACCTATATTTCTTCTCAGCCGAAGTCAGTAACCGCGCTGCGTGCGCAATAGCCTCTCCTCCATTCGGGAAACATGGGAAATAACAGCTCGAATACCATTATTGGAATCAACCGAAGCAACGACAATTCCCAAGTTCGAGTTGAAATGGGTCCGTAGTATATCAGAAGTGAAGGCTGCTTTGACTGCAACAAAGGATTGTTGGCATTCTTAAATTTTATCTTTCGTCAACAATTGGTTCAGCGGACCTCGCGTTTAATGAAAGCTTGGTAGGAAAACGCTATAATGGGTACAATACTAAGGAACGGGTGGGACTCTGCAACATCTTTCGGAGGCTCCATTTTGTTATAGTTTCTATGTCGGCAGGATTCGTGCACCGGCCATGTTTTTCGATGATGAACCCAAAGAATTTGACGCTTTCTAAGAGTGACAGATTTTTTAGTCCATAATCGGTATCCATCTTCTCCCAGGTGCGAAAGCACTATCCAGTGCTTGCATCAACTCTTGCGGATCTGCGCTCATAATCGAAGCACCATCCGAGTATACTGCGGTGTTGGAGATGGCGTTCAACAGTGTACCCATGATTTGGAGAATGGCTGGTTGTACTAGAAAAATCCGACGTACATATTAATTATCAGCAATGGTCCGAATTCATTGGCAGCCGGAACTTGCAAATACGCGTCAGTTAAGTCACGTTTTGCGAGGAACTTACCACTATTGAGTTCGGTGAACAAGTTTTCAGGTACAGGTAAGAAGTACTTCAGTTCTATGGCGTTGGTGACCCACTGCTGCGTTGGATAGGCAATTTCATGCACGAACGTCGGTTGGAAGTGAGAGTACGAGAATCCTTGTCCGACGCAATTAAGGTGGAGTATGGCGTACCACAAGGCTCGGGCCCCGTCTATTCTTGATTTTCACAAACGATCTGGCGATGGAAATTACTTCCGATTTCCTACTCTTCGCGGATTTTACCAAGTTATGGGGAGAGATCAAAGAATCGAACGACCACGGAAAGCTCCAGCGTGGCCTCAACACGATTTCAACCTGGTCAGTTTTGAATACCCTACCGTTCAGGGTGGAAAAATATCACGCCGCTCAATTTCGCCCTAGACATGAATATGTGTATAGGCTTGGGTCACATGTAATTGCAAATCACTTCCCAAGAACGCGACTTTGGTGTGCTCATTCAAAGTGATCTTAACTGTCCAAAACAGAGGCAGCTGCGAGTAGAGCAAACCAGCACGTCGGCTTACTGCGGAGAGCATTCGAAAGATTCGACCCATCCAT